GATCAGAGAGCGAAATTACTGAACATGCAATGAAGTCGCAATTAGTTACTATCTTTTGCCACCTTACTTCCTAATCCTTAGAGCGTCATGTCTTGGAAAAATTATGAATGAGGTTCTCATTTTTTTTCCTTATGGGAGAATGATTCATAAAATTGGAGTTTTGAGCCTCCGTAGTCATGTGACAGATACAAAGAGTTAATTGATTATCAGTATATTTCAAAATTAGTTTGTAGAAAGACAATGAAAATTCGATGAACAATTTCTTTGACTCTCCGATTGTACGACTCTTCTGTAAATCCATTTAACATGTTGATAACAGATAATTTTTTGAATGACTTTAGGTTCGTGTGGTGCTTTACACGAATGGAGCAGAAGTTATAGCTCTGAAATTCAATGCCAGAGGGACAAGTAACATGAACTGGTTTACACAAAATAATCTGATTCAATCACCATGGACTGATCTGAAGAGCGCAACAACTTTAAAACCCTTTCGTATCAATGGCTATTACGGGGCACGCAACTTTGAAATTTCAGCTCGCTACGCAGGATGTCGCAACGATGCTGGCTGGTTTGTTATCGGGGGACCTCACTGTAACTGGGAGAGATTTTACCCTGCACCGGCAATACTGTACAGCAAGAAAACTCACAAAATCACATGGAATAATAACCGAGGTAGAAAATGCTTCAGGAAATCTTAGAATTTTTCAGTTCTTGCTTTTTTTTGTTTTTTAGTACGAGCGACTTCCTAAACAGACCTTATCAAATAGATTCCCTGCCATTCGTTCATTGGAGTAATTAATTAAAACTGCATGGAACAACTATTCTCTTTTTGCTTTTGGGAAATAATTCATGAAATGATCCAGTCGACGCTTTCTCGGATTAATAGATAATTTTATCTTCTTCTTCAGAAAAAACTGTTTAATAGTAACATTTTAAGACCCCCTTTTCACTCTGGTTTTCCTTCTGTGTTTGGACAGTTAGATGGAACTGTTAAATACTGAGACAAAACCCCGGTTAGAAACTGAGAAGGGGCCGTGAAATAGTTATCAATTCCACTAAAATATAATCTCTCAGATGATGCCAAGGCCAGGGCTCAAAACTGATTCTTTTGTAAAAGATTGACTGTTTTATTTAACTTTTTATTCGTCTTCTTCATCATCTTTCCCAAAAAATGGAGTAGGTATTATAATAGTCATATATTAGAAGATATCTCAATAAATCATTTAATATTACTTGGAAGTGAATATATTTTATATTCGTTTTTCAAGCTGACGTCGGAGGCGCCGAGGCGATGATTGTGTTTGTACGATGAAAACCGAAGATGACATGCAGTCAATGGATCAACAAAGCAGAGAAATGAAATCTGAATAAAGTATTGGAAGTGAAATTCTGCATATTTAGTTATTCATACAGTTTTACAATTGTTGTTTAGAGGGCCCTAACAGAAGAAAACATTTACATCAAACAACTTTTCATTTATTCTATTGTTCGATAATGGTGACCATGTCTATGATAGCAGTTGTAGTAACTTTAAAATAAACAAGCTTCCCTTAAGCACCCTTTAAGTAAAACTGTTAACTGAGATTAAACGCCTAAGAATTCTGTAAAAATTTGTTTCGATATTCTCTATATTCAATGAATACCTCACATTAAATTCTTATTTGTAAAAAGTACCATAAAAGATTAATAGACAAAACTGACGAAAGCTATTGGTTAAAAAAGTAAAAAGGAAGTTAATTGAAGCTAATATAAAGCTAAGTATAACTGGGGGGCATTCACTTTATACAAAACTTTGCGGCATGTCTTTCGTTTTGATGTGTTTCCTGTTACTTGAGTTATGCGCTGTGATACCCAAGACTGTCTGGTCACAAGGTTAGTAATTGTAGTATAGACTGTTTTAGTACTGGCATATGGAGCTCGACTGAAAGGCAATAAGGGTAGGGTTTTAATATATACGTGTGATCAATGCTTGCTCCAAGGCAACGGATGGTGGGTTTTGGATTCTTTCAGTTGAAACTGACCAGGCAATGCAGTTTAATAACCTTTTTTTCAGCAGGCCTGCATCTAATGCCATCGACTTTTATTTTTTCTCACTCTCTGTACTTCATAAACCGTCGAAGAGAGGAAGAGGATGATAAATTGTACGCTAAAAATTCGCAAAAATTTAGGAAAAACGATATCTCAACAATATATGATAAACCCATAAAACCCGTGGGCCCTCGTTGTATTCCTTTTCTCTGCTTATCAAAAGCCCGACGAATTTTATTTGGAGGCAATATTTCAGTGTTCACAAATAAAGCAACATATATAACCAGAATATAAAGTATTTCTCTTTTCTGAAATAAAGCTCAGCATCTCAGAAAAGCCTTGTAAACAATATGAGATAAGTAGACTTGGAGACGGACATTTGTACCCTAAAGAAGGTATTTATGAGAAACATTTCACAGTTCGTCCCAGACATGAAGATCATCTACTCGTAAAAGTTTAAAAAGGGAAATTTTTTCAGGATAATTTTGAGTACAAATACATGTTATTTTCGTGAGTGAAATCTTCAGAAGGATTTTCACCCTTAAAGATTTCCATCACCTTCGGGTATTAAAACCAAGTTATAAATTCGAACGAGCCTATTCTAGTTTGTCTGAAACAAAACACCTGCCACCATCGATGAGACAACGAACCACTCCTGTGTGTGCTCTTTAGAATTTCTAAGTCTACCTTTGGCTTGTACTAATTTGCTTGTTCCTTTTTTGTTATTTGTTTATGTTTGTTTTTTTTCATTTTATCGCATGAGATTCTGTTTGAAAACCATATTCGTATGAAGAAGATATCCTAATAAAGATTACTATAATTTGTCCCGTTTTTAAATACACTTAGTCTATGCCGAGCGCTGTTATGAATTGAGATGATGAAGCCGTTAATTACTGAGGCCGTATTTTCCATGACCTGCTCCGTTCAGTCCACCATTCAAGGCTGTTCGGACCATGTTTATGATAACACTTGTAGACTGCTGTCAATGTAGGGTATCATTTATTTGCGCTACATAGAGATGCTCCCATGTTGTAAAACCGTTATATACTCTGTTTGAAACTGTGCCATGATTCATTACACTGCACCATACTGATTGCACTTAATTACATTTAGTGGTCGGAAATCAAGAGACAAAAAATTGCGTCTTTGTTTGGATGTGAGTCAGTTTAAAAAGTTCTTTTTACCCCCAAACTGTGATTGGCATGGATTCTTATGTAAAAGCTTTAATCCGTTCAGTTGACTTCGGCAAACACTGGTATTGTATAAAAAGAAAGATAAAGCCCTAATGATTCTTCATTTTTCAGCTGCAAAGGTGTTGAAGCGGAGATTCAAATCGTGTTTATGTCTCTACCTATGCCAGGCTTGTTAACTTTCGTATGCAATTTTTTGATATGGTTAATATTCCGTGGAGCCTCCATCCACTGCTTCATAAATGCCATCCACGGTGAGCAAAATCAAACCGAACTTAAAGAATAAAGACTGACCCTAATATCCAGACCACCTGCTATAAACAAACATCCAAAAGAAGGTAGTTGAATTGATTCAGCACCAAACTCTTGCCTCATTGATTTAATTTCCTTTTGCAAATGCGGAGAAAACGTTGAAATGAATAGCGAATTGAAACCATTCAATCAAGAACACTGGAAAATCTCAAATCGTAACGCTGAGAACTCTCTTAACTTTTTACGTGTTTTCATAACATAAATAAATTTAATATGATATATCCAGTATCACCATCACTAATTAAAAGCACTCGGAAAAGAGGAAAAAGCCTACATACTTGTATGTAAATATTGTAAAAAATAGTAATAACATTTTTTCTCAGATCTTTGTCGATCAATTACGTTTACAAAACCAAGAGAAGGTTACTCTCTCTATGGCCACGTGATAAAAAACCTGACGACAACAACTGCCAGCTCCTGTAAAAATCTCTGCACAATGGAAAGCCAATGTGTCTCTGTCAACATCAGTCCACCATTAAATGGCAAGGTGGTTTGTGAGCTGAGTGATTCTGATTACGTTCAGCATCCAGCAGATCTTAAGCTAAGAGAGGGTTATATTTACAGAGCCACACAGGTGAGCAGAATCAGCCTTGATGATATTACATGCGAGTTATCATGGTCATATCATCCCTTTATTGGTATTTTTTCTGTGCTTTGTAATTGTTGCTGTTGTAATTATTGTTTCTGTTTTTATATTTTCGGTTGCTTTCGTGATAATCGTTTTTGTTCCTAGTTTATTGCGAAATCTCGAAAAATTTTGTGTCATTTTTGAGATATTCTTTTGAAATGTAGTGGCCTCCTGGTGTTTTACCAGCGATTGACCCCCGAGGGAGAGTCCTAACTTCGAGTCTCATATGCAAAAATGTACTCTCGTAGTAATTCTCTCCACGCTCAGGAGTATAGGTGGGTATAGGCAAATTACACTGTACCAGAGAAACCTGATGAAATGCTGACTGAGCCTTGATGATGCTACATACGAGTTATCATGATTTGAATCGCATACGTTTTATTTGGATTTTTCCTGCGTTTTGTTGTTGTTGTTTATTGCCTCTGTGGAAACCTGCAAGTGTTTCGTCATGTTTGTAAGATATTATTGCATACGTGGTGGCCTTATCAGTTAAACAGGAGCTGTAATGCCAACGGAGAACCTTAAGTTGGAGCATTAGGTAACAAGAATACTCCTACAGTGATTCCCTCTACGCTCAGGAGTATAGGGGGGGGTACAGGCGAACTATTAGGGATTACGTGATGAGATGCTGAAGGATAATTAGACCAATTTCCCATTCATAAGGAGAAATAAAACAACCAATCTTTCCAAGCTGGAGGAAATTTGATGGGGTCTTACGTTTGGGGCCAGTAAGCTGATGTGTAGTAGCTACCTCTATTTTATCTTGTCCGTGTTTTCAGACGCAAAACGTTTCCTGCAATAATCGTAAATTACTCTACCCTCCCTAACTTTAATTTTGTACACGCCATTCTCGCGAGAGCTCACTTCATTATTTATGCTCACCGTAGAACTATTGCTCTGATAAACCCTGCAAGAACAATGGAAAGTGCTTAAATGGATTCACTGAAAAGAAGTACGTCTGTGAGTGCAAATCTGGATATACGGGAGACAACTGCGAAAAAGGTAAAACATGATTGCAGAAAACTTTCTTTTCCAGACCAGTACATTTTCCATTAAAGGCCATTTTCCTGCAATAATAATTTTCATTTCTTCTCAGTCATCAATGATTGTTCTGACGCTCTCCCATCGAATGGAATTGTTCATATTTGGAATCATGGACCGGAGCTGTTTCGTGTTTATTGCGACCAGACAAGCGATGGAGGAGGTACTACTGTTATTTCTTAACTATGTTCATCGATTTTGTAAATTACAATCCAGCGTGTTCATGAACATGACATGACCACATTTGTCTTATATCTTCTTTGGACTGTTGGGGTAAACAAGCTCGAACACCACGTGCAAACGGGAAGTACCGGTTTTTTGATCAAGAGATCGATTTTTGATCAATTCGGAGCGACTTTCACTCTTTTCTTAAAAACCCTTTCAGGCCAAGGTAAACGTTCTTAAATGTCCTCTCAGTAGGCGTGTGTGGGCCGACGGAACAACTGACATTGACAGATAACACATATTTCTACAACACCAGCTGAGAAGTTCTGCATAATCTTGCACTAACGAGAATGACAGGTTGCAAAAACTTTAGAGCAAGAAAAAAAGTTATTTTTTAGCGTATAACCAATGCTCCATAGCTGTTAAAGGCGCGCAACAACAGTGAAAAGATATTATCTTTGAACATAAGCACGTACCAAAATAATGAGAAAATGAAAGATTGACAAGCTCATTTTTCTTCTATAATCAGGTTGGACAATGATTTTCAAAGTTGTTAGGGGTATCTCTCTGCCTGTAGTGGGCGACCTTTGGAATTCAAAAGCCACACAGTCGGAGAGTATCAGTGCAGCCTTGGACACTACTAACACTTTCGCAGGCCATGTTAAGAACAGGGTTGTTATGAACTGGCAAAAATTCAACCCTAAGGAGGTACGAAAGTCAACTGTAGACAAGTTAACAGTCTTAAAGCGTTCCTCTACTTATTGCATCTAGCCCACTCAGGTGCAGTGAATAATGAGCAACTGAGTTTCAATCAATTATGGTTAAAATCAAGAATGAAGACTAAATTTTCTGGTCTATGTGATCTATAAATAGATATTAAATTTTCTCTTATCCCTTTCATTACACACTGAAATTTTTCGATATCAACATCACAATTTGATTTGAATTCTTATTTCTTTATAATTTTTTTCTTTACCTATTCGAAAAGACGACCTGTTTTCAAGACTATCAAATTTGTTGAATTGACTTTTTATGGGAAATTAAAAAAGGAGTAAATCAGGTACACGGTAAAAAGAAGTGAAATTGTATAACTTTCTGGGCGAAATCTATAGGATACAGTTGTTAAATTTATTCATACAAGCATCTGTTTATTTTTCTTTTATGTAACTGAATAATTAAGGCTTCATTTTTCCATTGATTTCCGACAGGCTCGTGTGGTGCTGTACCAGAATGGAACGGAAGCCATCTCCCTTAAGTTTAATGCATCTGGATCGAACAACTTGAACTGGTTTTCACAGGAGCGACTTATTTCGTCGCCATGGAACGACCTTAAGGATGCAACAAACATAACTCAATTTGCCATTGTTGCTCTTTATTTTCGGTTCTTTGATATAGCACTGTCCCGTGGCGGCTGCGGATATGATTCGGGGTGGTTGGTGATCGCGAACTACCCTGGTTGCATGTGGGAACAGCGTGACACTGTAAGCATTCTGTTCAGTACACTGGACAGAGCTGTGACCTGGATGGATTACGGTGAGTCTACGAAGTTTGGGAAAACGTACATTCCTTTACAGCATTATTGAGACCAGCGTTGAGTGGGGACTTAACATGCTTGCTCAGCCAAGAGTTTGAGTCAGAGCCAAATAACTTGTAATTTAATTGAATTTTATCATGAATTTATCCGAAAAGAGACAAGTTATCACCGTAAGGAGGATAGTTAAATATTTGAGGGTGAGCTCTTAAAGTTGGAGGTGAACTTGTCATAATTGACGGGGCGAACTCTTCGTGGTGTGGGCGAACATGTCGGGGGAGAACCTTCAATGTGGTGAAACACTCATATATTTTACGTTATTATTTTGAGGATCAATTCAATTGTGGCACATTCCTTGAGTCTTTCAAATCATTTTGGTCGTTCTTCAGATTCCAGATTTCCCATATTTAGCTTAAGTTTGAGGGGATTTAAGAACGGTATGAGCTATGATTAATGTGATATTCTAATTATACTTGAACTCAATATTTCTTTAATTACATTATTCTTGGTGATAAGCGAAAGTTTGCCACGTAAAAAGACCAAATGCAAGGAAAGCATCAATTGAATGTCGAAATAAATCCTGTTTTGAATCGGATCTGGATCTCCACACTCATTACAAACTAGTCCCATTCTCTCAACCAATCATAAAAATTTTTTTTCTAAAGGCGTAACTCTATCTAATTAATCGTGTCTTTTAGGGAACGTTGGAATAGCTGACGTACTAGCCGTGTTCGTCCGCTGAAGACTCCTTTGACAAGTTGCTTACCTGGAGACACCAAAGACAACAGACTTGTTTGAGTGGAAAAGAGAGCCCCTATGCAGTTTTAAGTTTTACTAGTCCAATTTAGGAAAAGTGCTTCTAGTGAACTTTGCTGAAATATCAAGGATTTGTGTTTTATTCTATGACTCAGTCACTCATTCAGTCAGTCGGACTTACGGCGGCAGATTAAACTTGGCAAATGTATCGGCTCCAGCCCTGTACATGTTGGATTTTTTAAGTTTGCCACACTTCTTCGAAAAAATGACTAAGGAATATTTGAGGGGCTAATTATAATCATTCAGGTTTTATTTACTTTGCATTTACTAAGCATAGAAGGAGTTGCGACGCGCAGGGCTTTTCTGCCGGTCAGCGGTCAGTCCGTCAATTCTTTACATTCTCACACCCTAACATTCGGTAGTCATATTCCACATATTGCTCTCTGTACATTTACTATGGCACTGAAAATGAGAATTTGTTGAGAGCTTCTTTGAATACATTCATTTGCTTTATTCTTGCTAAGAATAATAATAATGGTTGAGATTGCAGTGATGCTATGAGGAGAAATTAAAGGCTGGTCACTCTTAGAGGTTAAAAAATTGAAAGGCTGGTACGGTTACAGTTTGGAGGTTTTCTATGACAGTCAATTGGGCAGGCTTTGATCGGCTTTTTTCTTTCATCAAATTACGTTTCTTTTCCTTGCTTATTAATTGATTGTTAACAATGGTCTTAAAAGTATATACGCAATCATCACCTCTGCAACTCCAACATCAGCTTGAAACAAATAAGTTGAAAATAATCTCTCAACAAGTAAACGAGTATCGTAATTATATAGCTATCCATTTTTAAAGATAATTAATGTAAAAAAATATTTAAACCAAAAATCGGATTTAGTGAGCTCAAGCCTTCTCCACATTTATGAGGTTATGTTTGAGTGGACGCCTATCGTTCTACGACTTTCTCCCATATCAATCTGAATTTTGTTAGCAGTTACGATCACTTAAACCCGAGAAGAACGTGAGTAAAAAATTTTTAATTTAAATGTCACAAGTTTTAAAAATACTTTTTTCACTGTGAAGAAAGGAATTTGTCGAATTATCTCCGGACAGCGTTTATTGGATCATTCAATGACATCCAATGACATCCAATGATATTCAATGATTCATCAATGATATTCCCAAACCCCAGAGGGAAAAATTGATTTAGGTAGATTTATGTCATGGCCACTAATTAGGAAATTGAAATAATACCTAAGAAACCATTAGGCGGGGTTTTTCAGGACATTTCGACAAAAAAAAAAAAAAAAACATAAGCAAACAAAATAGTTAGGGTATTCCAAGATTTATCAAATCGATTCAATCCCTTCGTTGATTATCATTCCATGAGATTTTGTGAGTTTCTTGCTGAACAAAATTCCCGGCACAGTAAGTTAAGGTCCCCCAATCAAAAACCACCCAACATCTTTAGGGCATCCTGCGTAGCGAACAGAAATTTCAAAGTTGCGTGCCCCGTATTGATACAAAAGGGTTTTAAAATTCTTGCACTCTTAAGGTCAGTCCATGGTGATTGAGTTAGATTGTTTTGTGAAAACCAGTCTGGGTTAGTTGTTCCTCTGGCATTGAACTTCATAGGCGTAACTTCTGCTCCATTCGTATTAAGCAGTACACGAACGTAAAGTCATACAAGAAAGCTATAAGTTATCTTTATATCAAATATTTACTTATGGGTTAAGAAAAAAGTCGTAAAATCGGAGAAGTAGAGAAATGGTTCATCAAGAAGAGAGCAACTCTTACGCTTCTCTCATGCTCTCCAAACTTCTCAAGTGCATCCATATCTCCATATATGCACGCTAAGCAAGCTAACCAATTCTTTAGTATTATTAATACGAACTTTGTAAACTTTAGTAAAGTGTTTCGTCACAGACAATTTGACGACAAGTTTCCATAAAGTGGAAACCTCACCCGAGTACATTGGTAGCTTCTAAAAAAAATTCAACTGATTTCCAGGCCATTTCTAAGGAAATATATTAACATTTGATTAGGAATTTGTAAACTATGGTGCATTTAGCTTAACTATTTGTGATGTAAATGTTTTCCAGACTTATCTCTTGAGGGTTAAAATTTTGCCAGCTTTTAAAAATTTCCCTGTTAAGTTGAAGTGGCAGCGACCTTCCTCTCAGTTAACTGCAAACGTTGGCACAAAAGTAACGAACAGACTTGGAATTTCCATAATTTTTGAGAGGCTTATAGGCATAACCCAAAGGAACTGGAAGAGTTCATGAGTTGTAGTTCTGAAAATTACATGTTTTTCTTCTGAGATGTTTTACTGAATTGGTGTTGTTGCGCTAATGAACCATTCTTAATTTTTCAGCCCAATTAAGTTCCTTCATTAACACTCCTAAAAAATTAGCATAATTTCGAACTTTTTCAATATTGAACTTTTATCTATAGTGACGGATTGCAGTGCACTGATTAATCTAAAAAAAATAAATGTTAACATTTTTGGATTTGAATTTTCATGCTTTTGCCTCTCGTTAAACTTAATATACGTTTGCAAGTTTTCTGCTTTTGTTTTAAAGGGATTGTGCTTGCGTATATCGTGTTTATCGTTAACAAAGCATTCTTCGAGTCATAAATTATTAACTTCTACAAGACTTCTATACGAACACGGAATATTCGGGGAAGTTATAGTTTAAGTCTCTTTTAATTATTTCAGGTTATGCCTTCGTCATTCTTTGAAACTTCTTTTTGAGTGAGAAAGTGTCAAAGGTCATGGCGATTCTGAACCTGTTCGCTGTTTTTGTGCTAACGTTAGCAGTTCATGGAGGTAGGTCGAATAACGGTAACAATTCCTTTTACGTAAATCCTTGGCATATAGTTGCCTCATGATACGAAAAAATATAATCAGCCAAAAACTTATCTGGCAGTAAAAATGTTAAATGTTAACCAAATCGTTCAGTAGCGAAATGGCCAAATAGGTATATGAGGCATTGCGCAAAGTATGTGCGTGCAGAAGACAAATTTTTCCTCCTTTGGTTAACGCTAACCTTAAACCAAAGTAACAGGCAGAAGAAATTCCTTATCTACTGATCGGGGAAAGAGCCCCGACAAGAGAAATATGCTATGATTGAATTTGATTTCTTGGATAGTAATTTCAAATGAGAATATGCTTCAGTCAACATTTTAGTCAACGGCTTTTGACAAAAAATAAGAAAAAGATTTCGATTTTTGAGATACTATGAAAATTTTGGGCGTGTTTTTTATATTTGAAAAGTGCCAATCATTTATGATAAAGATATTCCAGCGATCGAAGACTGACGTGATGTTTTGTTGATCTCTGATGTCCGTTCAGGGAGACTCTTCCTTCTACAACAGCTCTTTCTCAAAATATTTATTTGATATCGTTGTTTCAATCCTTTAGTTCTTCAGAACATAACCATGTTACACACTTACATGATTTTCATATATCTACAATCAACTTTGATCGCTTTCACAACAATATGATTTTGTTTAAATTCTTACTCTAAATAAGTTTTCTAAATGTTCGTACTTAATTGCCATAGATGTAAAGAACTCGCACTATTTTAGGGGGATATTTGGCAATTACCAGGAGCCTCGAGGGATAAAATAAATTTTAATAGACACATATCGATTATATTGATCAGTTACGTTTAATGATGGGTTGTTCTTCTTTTTAGCTGTGGCAGAAAATTCAGATGAGTGCAGAACTATTCTATTCAAACCAGTCATCAAAGACAAGTATTTACTTCATCACATAATCAAATCTGTGCCAGCTGAAAGTGAAGTAGGCTGTGAACTGATTTGTTATGAGGACCCCGACTGCGTGTCTTACAACTACGGGCCACTACTAACTGAGATTCCTATATGCGACCTGAATAACAGCACTCATTTACAAGTCACCAGCGTGAATTTCATTTCCAGAAATGGCTACAGCTACCGAG